ATTTCACAATTTGTATGGAAATACAAAAAACCTCGAATAGCCAAAGTAATCTTGAGAAAGAAGAATGGAACTGGAGGAATCAACCTGCCTGTCTTCAGACTATACTACAAAGCCACAGTCATCAAGACAGTATGGTACTGGCACAAAGACAGAAATATAGATCAATGGAACAGAATAGAAAGCCCAGAGATAAATCCACGAACCTATGGACACCCTATCTTCGACAAAGCAGGCAAGGATATACAATGGAAAAAAGACAACCTCTTTAACAAGTGGTGCTGGGAAAACTGGTCAACCACTTGTAAAAGAATGAAACTAGAACACTTTCTAATACCATACACAAAAATAAACTCAAAATGGATTAAAGATCTAAATGTAAGACCAGAAACTATAAAACTCCTAGAGGAGAACATAGGCAAAACACTCTCTGACATAAATCACAGCAGGATACTCTATGACCCACCTCCAAGAATATTGGAAATAAAAGCAAAAATAAACAAATGGGGCCTAATAAAACTTAAAAGCTTTTGCACAACAAAGGAACCTATAAGCAAGATAAAAAGACAGCGTTAAGATTGGGAGAAAATAATAGCAAACGAAGCAACAGACAAAGGATTAATCTCAAAAATATACAAGCAACTCCTCCAGCTCAATTCCAGAAAAAATAAATGACCCAATCAAAAAATGAGCCAAAGAACTAAACAGACATTTCTCCAAGGAAGACATACAGATGGCTAACAAACACATGAAAAGATGCTCAACATCACTCATTATCAGAGAAATGCAAATCAAAACCACAATGAGGTACCATTACACACCAGTCAGGATGGCTGCTATCCAAAAGTCTACAAGCAATAAATGCTGGAGAGGGTGTGGAGAAAAGGGAACTCTCTTACACTGTTGGTGGGAATGCAAACTAGTACAGCCGCTATGGAGAACAGTGTGGAGATTTCTTAAAAAACTGGAAATAGAACTGCCATATGACCCAGCAATCCCACTTCTGGGCATACACACTGAGGAAACCAGATCTGAAAGAGACATGTGCACCCCAATGTTCATCGCAACACTGTTTATAATAGCCAGGACATGGAAGCAACCTAGATGCCCATCAGCAGACGAATGGATAAGGAATCTGTGGTACATATACACCATGGAATATTAATCAGCCATTAAAAAGAATTCATTTGAATCAGTTCTAATGAGATAAATGAAACTGGAGCCCATTATACAGAGTGAAGTAAGCCAGAAAGATAAAGAACATTACAGCATACTAACACATATATATGGAATTTAGAAAGATGGTAATGATAACCCTATATGCAAAACAGAAAAAGAGACACAGATGTACAGAACAGACTTTTGGACTCTGTGGGAGAAGGCGAGGGAGGGATGTTTCAAGAGAACAGCATTGAAACATGTATATTATCTATGGTGAAACAGATCACCAGCCCAGGTTGGATGCCTGAGAAAAGTGCTCGGGCCTGGTGCACTGGGAAGACCCAGAGAGGGTAGGTAGGTAGAGAGGGAGGTGGGAGGGGGGATCGGGATGAGGAATACATGTAAATCCATGACTGATTCATGTCAATGTATGACAAAACCCACTACAATAATTGTAAAGTAATTAGCCTCCAACTAATAAAAATAAATGGAAAAAAATAAAGAAAAAAAAATAAAGTGATGCTTAGAAGAAAATTTAGAACCTTGATGCTTTGTTGATGCCCACATTAGAATAAAAATAGAAACAGAAGAAAATGATCCAAGACTCAAGAATCTATAAAAGCAACAACAACCATAACTGAAAAGCAAAAGTCACTCAGTCGTGTCTGACTCTTTGTGACCCCATGGTCTATACAATCCATGGAATTCTCCAGGCCAGAATACTGGAGTGGGTAGCCTTCCCTTCTCCAGGGGATCTTCCCAACCCAAGGATCAAACCCAGGTGCCCTGCATTGCAGGCAGATTCTTTACCAGCTGAGCCACAAGGGAAGCCCAGGAATAGTGGAGTGGGTAGCCTATCCCTTCTCCAGGGGAATCTTCCCAATCCAGGAATCAAACAGGGGTCTCCTGCATTGCAGGAGCTAGCTCTAGCAACTGAGCTATCAGGGAAGATCATAACTGAAAAAGAGGAGTGAAAACTGAGTAGAGAAATCAATTAAGTAGAAAGCAAATACAAATCAAAAAAATCAATAGGGTCCATTAGTGACTCTCTTAAAAAGAACATTAACACTGATAATCTTCTAGCAAAACCAATTAAGAAAAAAGAGGGAACACAAATTAACAACACCAGTAACAAAAGGAGGAATATCATTATAGATCTTCCCAACACCTAAAGATAAGAGGTGTGAACCAGCGTTATTCTAATTTGAAAATTTTTTGTAAAGTGGGCCTAGTCCTTGAAAACACATTACTTGTGAAACACAACTCACTGAAATCTGATACAAAAAAAGAGAGAAAAATATGAGTAAACTTATATTTGTTAAATAAACAGAATCTATCTGTATTATAAAAACTTGCCTCTAAAAAACTGCAACCTCCTAGCACTTCCACAGAGGTCAGAAATGACTCCCACAACAGGATAAAGGAAGAGAGGGAGGGAAGGGATGAGGGTAGGAAGGAAGTGTAACACAGAGGCTCTGGTGAATGTAGGAGTTGACCTGCATCTTTCCAACCCTCCCCTCCTGCAATCCTTGCATCTTCATCCCCTCACCAGTTTGCACTTCAGTACTGTAGTTCCTGGTGGCTCAGAAGATAATCAAGACTCTACCTGCAATGTAAGAGACCCAGGTTTGATCCCTGGGTGAGAAAGATCCCCTGGAGAAGGAAATGGCAACCCACTCCAGTATTCTTGCCTGGAGAATCCCATGGCCGAAGAGCTTGGTGGGCTACAGTCCATGGTGTCACAAAGAGTAGGACAGGACTGAAGCAGCTTAGCACACTTGCACCACAGTCCTGCTCAATTTGTTTAGCCCCTCATTGAAGTCTCCTCCTTCTTTCAAACAAGCTTCTCGACATTCTTCTCTGGTCATTATTTCCACTCTAGATTTTTTCTAAACACAGAACTCCACTTCCAATAATCCACTACTGAGGCTGAAATTTCTCTTCCATACCTGAGTCCTAAGATTAACCAGAAGAAACTTCAAGAGTTCAATTTCGATTAAGAAAATGAAAAAACAAGCTATTCTAATCTTATCTCTACTACATCACCACCACTTTAACTTATCTTTGCATCATTAAAACATGTCTGAAAATACAGAAAAGACAGACCAAGGGGAGGAAACTAATGACAAAAAGAGAAATAGAAGGAACCTGGAATCATTCATAAAACTATGACAGCCTAAGTTAGAGCAGTGGTAGTCAGGGAGTACAAACCATAATCAGGGTTTAAATATCAGAACACTCTACAATTCTTTACTTTTAAGTGTAACTTAACTGGAATTAATATCAAGACATGAATCTTCTTAGGATGATAACATTGGGAGTTCTAATTTCACAGAAAGTTCAAACATCAAATGTGTGTGTGTCTCAAAATATGGTAGAGACACCTGTAGTGTTTTCATAAATTTATCTGCAGTTAGAACCATGATTAGGACATTGTGACAATGAGGAAGTTTACTTGAGATGACAGAAAACAGGTTTGCTTAAAACAAAAGTTTCTAAATAAAATTTAAAAGCTCCTTGAAAATAATTACTTTTAATGAGAATAATAAAGACAACGGAAGGAAACGTTTTGAAGAGATGAATAGATTTATGACATAAGTGCTGTAATGGTTTCACAAATGCATACTTATCAAGCAGTTTTGTATGTCAGTCATACCTCAATAAAGTACCTTTTGAAAAGGGAAAGAATTGTTTTCTTAAGGGCTTCAACTAGAATCATCAAAGATCTGCTGAAGGTGAGATTAGAAAAGATCACTTTTCCAATGATCTTCCTCAACATAAACACCCAAGAGCTGACTGGCTGTGACTGCTAAGGACATACTGCAGGTGTCCTCAGGGCTCCCTTGTCCCACGATCACATCAGGTGGGGTGATTGCCTAAGACCAGCTCCCTATTTGAGGGAATTTACTGTGATAACTGACAGTATCTTCCTCCAGTGCAGCTGCTCTGATGGGATTAATATCCTGGACATCCAATCCATAATTATGATAACAACTACAAGCATCTCTGTCAAATACTGTGACCACCCACTCACACCCTAGTTTCACTGCTGTCTTTACTGCATCCACCTTAGCCCAGGTTAAACACATAGACAGCACTGAGCACTTCATAGGAGTCACTTCAGGTCCTCTTAGCGTCACTGCCTCTTACACGTGATGCACTTCAGCTACTGTGTTGTAAACTTCAAGACTTCACTTTCCTGGTCCCTCAACATCCCTGCAAATGTGATGTGAGCTCCCCACTCGGTTGATCAGGTGCACCAGTGTGATGAGACAAGTGTGGCAGTGTGTTTTCTGCCACAATTCCACTTCTGGCTTCCTCTGACTGTGACCTAGGGACATTTAAATGCACTAGTAAAATCCCCTCACACCTTTTCCTTGTGTAACTGCACCCTGACCCCCAGTATAGTCACATGCCCATAGGTCTCAACATGCCCTTTTGGGTCACCATTTCTTGGTTGAGCCTATTCTATTGGCACATCCCCCACATACCAACCTGATGGAGTGTGGTGACTCTGAGTTTTAGGACCTATGAGTATGATAAACCTTGTTGCCTACAACTCTTCTGTGACCCCCACCACCACCATGTAGCCACACCATACTGACCATTATGTCAAAGAACACAGAACAATTACCATGATAAGACTATGTCACAGAGGTCAAACACAACAGCTGTATCTGTATGAAAGTTTTGACCTGACTTCTCTACCTTCTGTGACACATCACACAGACCCTTCACCCAAGCATGTTCTAAAGGCTATAATCCATAATCTCAAGTCATTCTGGTGATAAGACAGAGGCTTTTCCTGCTAGAGATCCCCACACAGACCAGACAGGACTTACCTGAGCAGACTACTCCAGTATCCCGGTCATGGGCATAGCTATTATTACGATAGTCTTTAATATCAGAATGCCTACAGTCGCTGACAGTTGACTCTGTTCCTTTACATAAAGTATACAAAAGCCAAATGGGGCCAAGTCCTGGCCCAAAATAAGCCCTTCCAGGAAAACCAATGGCAGTTCCACACCCCAGCTGTCTGCACACTACAGATGCATCCTTCAAGCTCCAGTAGTCATCATCCACTGTGCCCCATTCTCCGTGGTGCTTCACTTCCACTCTCCCCTCACAGCGGTGGGCTCCATCCTTCAGCCTCACCTCCAGATCTGCAAGAGAGAACAGACACAGGACACAGGAGAGATTTTAGGAGACTTGTAGTGATATAATATTTAAAATATAAGCTCTCTGAGGAGTAAAAAAGCACATATGATATAGTATTTGTTGACCTCTATGGTATAAACATTCCCACAAGGCCAACTTGAAGCCGCCAATGTGCCATCACTGAACCTGGAGCAGGAAGGGAGGCCCCAGATGTTTCTCACAAGCCTGTAGAACCAGCTCCAGGGACACCACCGAGGACAGGTCTACAGAGACTCTGGATGCTGCCTTCCCTGTAGATGTGCACAAGGCTACCAGGGCCCAGCTTCCCCATCTCAGTTACAGCTCGTGGTCCAAGATCCAGGGAGGAATCCTCCCTCTCCTTCTCTGTCCACAGGGAGCATCTCATCCAGCTCAGGAACAGAGGGCTGGGATAACAAGCTCTATAGTGTCCTGGTTATTCCTGCCACCTGTGTTCATGTCCTTGTGTAATCCACACTCGAATCTGCCTAGTAACATGCATCTACAAATGGAATTTGACAGAAGTGATCCGGTGTCACTTTAGTGATTAAGTTTTAAGACGACTCTGGTTTCTGCATTAAAAGGAGTTCATTTGCAGGAATGATGGAGACATTAGTAGTGTTCAGCAACATTTAAAATTCTCCTTTTATGAGCTTGTGGAAATAGTAATTCTTCCTTGCCTATTTGAAGTTAAGCATAACTATGTGATCTGACTCATTCAACAAAGTGGCAGAACAAATGATGTCACTTCCACATAGAAACACTTAAGAGCCAATATGTTTTTCTACCACAGCAAATCCTGCAGCCTTGTATTGCAGTGAGAGCATAATACAATGGTGGAGAGTTCAACAACCTGAGTGCTTGAAGAATTATGATAGCAGAAGTCCTGCCAAAGTGAACAGAACATGTTATATAAGGATACATTTTGTTTTTTTACTACACCATACCTAGCTTACTTTTACTAAAATGGGAAAACAGCAGAAAATTGACAGAAAGAAAAATACTAAGATAAAGACTAGGTGTATAAAATTGAGAAACACCTATACTAACATCTAAAACCCCAAGAACAAAAAGAGATGTCAGGGTAGAGTAGATTTAAGCCTTAGATTTACTGAAAGAAAAAAAAAAGCCAATCTAAAACTCTACACTCAAAACCTTTCTCTCAAAGAATAAAGAGCTCAAATGTGCCATTACCAAAATGCTGACGAAGGAGACAGCAGCCTCCATCCTCCTAAAAAAGACCAAACTTAGACATTGATCAGTAACAAAAACAGCTCCAGAAAGATCTGGAGTACCCTAAGAAATTTGACCAAGCCAATATACTGTCATTTTGGAGGCATCATTACATCCTCCAAACCAGCATCACTCAGTGTCAAGGGTGCCATGAGAGTTCCTCTAACCAGGAGGGTAAGAACAGGCTGAATAACCAGTGTCCCTAGCCTTTGGGGGCACCATATGAAAATCCTGCTTCAGGTTCACTTCCCGCAGACCTGCAAAGCTGAGCCAGTCTTATAGAGATGGCTAAGCATAAGAAAGAAGAGCAAAAGACCAATAGCAACCACATGTCAGGAGCAAGCACAGTTCACAGTGACCTACTCTGCAGACAGATGCAGCAGATTTTATACCTGAAAGGATTAATAACAAGCACAGATGATGGTTTTCCAGTAGTCAAGTATGGAAGTGAGAGTTGGACCATAAAGAAGGCTGAGCCTGAAGAGTTGATGCTTTTGATCTGTGGTGCTTGAGATGACTCTTGAGAGTTCTTTGGATGGCAAGGAGATAAAACCAGTCAATCCTAAAGGAAATCAACCCTGAATATTCATTGAAAGGACTGATACTGGAGCTGAAGCTCCAATACTTTGGCCACCTGATGCAAAGAGCTGACTCATTGGGAAAGACCTTGATGCTGGGAAAGACTGAAGGAAAAGGAGAAGGACAGCACAGGATGAGATGGTTAGATAGCATCACCAGCTCAATGGACATGAGTTTAAGCAATGAGCCATTGTTGATCTTGGCCTTTGCTGCCTTCCTAGGCCTTCCCACAACATGAGCATCTGCAAGCATCATCTCCCCTACAGAGGCACCTTCAACGGGCCCCCAAAGCCAAGTGTGTGCACACCATTGGCTCTGGCCACCACCACTGCTGGTCATGATCCCTAGGCTTTGGAACCAGAGGCACTGCCGAGGACACCAACTACCATTCCAGTGACAGCAGACCCCCTGCAACACTGGCCAAACACCACACAGTTGTCAATGCTGTGGACATCAGCAGCCTGAGCCAAACAGCCTCACGTTCTCCCAGACCCAGTGCCACCTTATGCCTCTGCACTTGGCACCCCGCAGTACATTGCAGTGTGCCCCTACCCAGAGGTGAAAGGCTTTCTCTACTGAAATCAGGACTTAGTGTCTGACAGAGGTGACAGCTTTTTTAAATGTGCAGACATCTATAAGAGAATAAGACCTCAAGAAGAATCGGGGAAACAAAATCCCACCAAAGGAATACAGTAAACCTCCTGTAACGGGTTCAAATTAATGGAGATCCAAGAATGCCTGACAAAGAATTCAAAATAATACTTCAAAAGATGCTCAGAGAGTTACAAGAGAATTCAAATATTTTTTGACACCAGGAAAATAATACAAATAAAATAAGAGCAATAAAGACATATAAAATTTTTAGAAAAGAACTAACCAGATATTTTGAAGCTGAATAATAAATGAATGGGCTTCCCAGGTGGTACTAGTGGTAAAGAACCCATCTGCCAGTGCAGGAGATGTAAGAGACTCGGGTTCGATCCCTGGGTCTGGAATATCCCCTGGAGGAGTACATAGCAACCCACTCCAGTATCATTGCCTGGTGAATCCCATGGACAGAGGACCCTGGTGGGTTACAGTCCATGGGGTCACAAAGAGTCACACGTGATGGAGGCAATTTAGCATGAACATAAGACAATGAGTAAACTGAAGAATTCAGTATAGAGATTCAACAACAAACTTGACCAAAGAAAAGAAAAAAATAAAACAATAAGTTAGAAGAAAGATCAGTTGAAAGTATCCAATTAGAGGAACAAAAAGAGAATGAAAGGAATATAGAAAGCAGTGGGAACTGTGTACACCATAAAGAGAAACAATGTATTGAATGGAGTCACAGGAGAAGTGAAGGAGAAAAGAAATAATGGCTGAGGACTTCCCTGGTGGTGAAGTGGATAAGAATACACCTGCCAATGCAGGGGACACGAGTTCAATCCCTGGTCCAGGAAGATTCCACATGCCACAGAGCAACTAAGCCAGTGTGCCACAACTACTGAAACCTGTGCACCTAGAGCCTGTGGTCTGCACCAAGAGAAGTCACCACAGTGAGAAGTCTGTGCACTGCAGCGAGGAGTAGCCCCTGCTTACCACAACTAGAGAAAGCCTGCATGCAGCAAGGAGACCTAGCAAAAAAAAAAAAAAAAAGACAGGCTGAGAATTTCCCAAACCTGGGGGGAAATCTGGACATCTAAGTTCTAAGCTAATAAGTAACCCCAAAATTTCAATCCAAAACAACCTTCTCCAAGATGCACAGAGTAAACTGTCTGAATGCAAAGACAAAGAGAGAATTCAAAAAGTCTAAGGAGAATAAAAAAATTCTGTCACCCAAGAAGACTCCCCTAAGCAGATCATCGGATTTGTCCAAAGAAACCTTGCAGACCACGACAGAAGGATTGATGACATACTCCACTCTCACTCAGGGGAAGCAGCTCCCAGGGAGGGGCAGGAAAGGGCATGAGAGAAAGAGCTCCCTAGGAGTCACGGCAGCTCCTGGGAGGGGAAAGGACCGTCCCAGGCCCCCAGCATGACAGGAAACGGGTCACAGGGACCGGGGCAGGGACTTAGGAACTTATACACTGAGGCTATGCATCAACTAATCTCTACAGACAAGAGGTCCTCTCTCCTGGATGCGGGCTTCTCTGCTCCATAATGGACACCTGGTGGGAACAGGCAAGGCCAGCAGGTGGAGCCTCTCACAGAGCCCAGTTCTGGGCAGACACGTCAACAAGCAGAGGGGAGCCCAGGGGATAGGCGAGAGGAGCCAGAGAGAGGCAGGCAGGTGCACGATTGTCTCTGATCCAGTTACAAGGAGCGGCCATGACACCCAGCGCTGTGAGACCCTGTGTGCTTCACAGACCAACGGACTCAGTCCCTGCTCAGCGGCCCCGTTCCTCTCACAGAGACAGGAGCCATCCCCCTTACACACACATACACACACACACACAGAGCCTCACACACTCCCACACACACACACATACATATTCTCACACAAATACACACACCCTCACACGCTACTCAAACACTCCTCACACACCCTCACATACTCCTCACACACCCTCATACACCACTCAGACACTCCTCACATAGTCCACACACACACACTCTTCACACCCTCACACACACAAATACATAAACTCCTCACACACACACACACACCCTCACACACTCCTCACCTGCACACACACACACACACACACATACAAGCACAGAGCCTACAGGAGCACAGACACAGGAAACACGGGGATCTAAATGCAGTGCTCACACACCAGGCATGTGGAGCGTGTGGGAACAGCCCAGAGTCCAAGCTGAGGTCAGTCGCTGGAATTTGCACACACTGGGAGTCACTGGGACCCCTAGAAGCTCCCTGAGAACAAGGCAGACAGCAAGGGGAGTCAGGTTGACCACCTCGGTCCAGATCAAATCTCACTGCTCTGTAAAATCTGCCTCTATGACCAATGGACTCCCCACAGGAGAGCGACCACTATTCACAGTCAGAGTGCTTTGTTTTGGGCCAAAAACACTAAGAATGCGGCTCCACAACTCCATACCCCTTTCCCTTTATCAAGGTGTCCACTACCTGGTGTGGACCCAGGACAGAGGGGCAGCTCTTACCTTGACCACCCACCACGGTGCCGAGGAGGAAGACACAGAGTCCCTGGAGGGAGAGGTGTCGGCTTGG